AGTTCGGACTGATGCTCGAGGAGCGATATGGAACAGGGAGAGGGATGGGGATGAGAGGGGAGTCAGAGGGTGAGCGAGCGAGCGCGTGCAAGTCGCGATCACTCGGCCGCGTTCTCTGGATCGGCGCCGCGCGTAGGCGAATCTTCGCCAGGTTGGTCAGCAGGCGAACCGTCGCCATCATCATCGTCAAACATATCGTTCCCCTCGGTGGCAGGTGTGATGTTGTCCCGAAGACTTTGTGCAGCTTGAGCGATGTATACTGGTTCCCAATCATCGACTTTAGATTGCACCCGTTGCGGCATGCCTTTGTACCACGTATCGTCATGAACGATGTCTTGCGACGCTTGTCGCAAAATACGCCAGTGACTCCAGACGTGGACCTGGCTCGCTTCTCTCGGCCATGCGTGTCGATCGCTGCAGCCACCGCTGCAACGCGCACGTACTCCATAGCAGCAGGCACACACTCGATCGAGACCTTCTTGCACGCCTTTAACTCGAACAGAAACGTCAACGTGATAGCATCGTGCTTCAAGTGCTGGCCGCCGTGCGTGCACTCCACCGCTGGGAACGATGCAGTCACGGTCTCTGGCATCAGAGATGCATCGAGTATACCCCGATTGATCTTGACGGTCGAGGCCTTATCGGCATCGTCCTGAAGCAACGGGCCGGTCTCTTTCATGCGTTGCCAGATCGCATCGTCGCATGCGGCGCCCCTCATCTTCATCAGATCACCAAAGAAAGCGTTGTGCGCTAGGGGAGCGTTTGACTTTGTGGGGTTCGGGGCTCCGATGAAGTTCTGAAGCTTGCGATCGCTCTTCGACAGCTCCAAGAATAGCGAACCAGCCGCTTGGATTTGGATAATCTGTCTGAGGCCCATGGGTCTTTCAATGCACCCCCCTCGATGACAGCGCGCATTTGCACAGTCACGGGCATGATTGCAAACCAAAACTCGAGTGGAAACACCCACGGACAAGGCAACGATTGCCGGCGTCCATGCGGTCTGTGAGCGATAACTCATGGCACTGCGTTTGCCGACATGGGAGGGTGGAGCGACGTCTTGCACATGGCCATATTGCAATCGAACACGCGTTTGCAAGTACTGCATAGATGTGCACATACATCGTCACTTCCTAGACTTCTTCACTGCGGGCGCAGGCGCATCCTCAGCCTTGCGCTTTGGCATAAGCGATGCACGGGGTGCGATCAGCGCGTCTCCCTTCGCGACGTCGCTTTTGTTGGTCAGCACCTGCGCAGACACAGACGGCATCACATCGGACTTCACGGTCGCGACCTTCGCGTTTGCATTGAGTTCGGGGGTCGACTCCTGCACGAACCAAAATGGAATGACTAAGGAGCCAGGGGCCTTTGCCAGCCCCCCTACACCCGCATTCGCCTGCACCTTGGGCATCTTCATGCCACCAGTGGGGAGCAACACGATGTTGAAAATGGTGCCTTTGAGGTCCTTGTACGACTTCACAAACACGCTCCCGCTTGGTGAGTCTTCGTTGGATTTCTTCATGAAGATGCTCGCAGTGAGTGGGACAAGCACTATCGCTCCTGCTTTGAATGCACGCGCGGTAGTGATAGACCGATACTTAACAGCGATGTTACGCCAGTGATGCCCTTCAAGCAATCTGAATGCTGGGCGTACATGTCGTCCAAGGCGATTCTGATTTTCGCCCCCTCAATTGACCACTGCCAGCCGGCGCTCATCATGGGGCCGTGGTCAGCAAACTTTTCGCTGATTTCCTGGGAAGGATGGGGGGGGGGGCATGCGAGAGGCATAGCACTGGATGGGCGAATGGATTGTTAAAAGTACATAGAGCGGGGGACACATAGACAGAGAGCGAGCGGGGGAACGAGAGAGGGATGGGGAGAATGATATATGCATAGAGATGGATAGACAGATGAAAGAGAGGACGGGTGTATATATATATAGAGAGAGGCGTCGTCAAAACAATTGAAGGTCGGGTTGCGATGAGATCGCACGTTGCCCTGTTCTTAGTCGTGCCCAAGACGTACTTCCCATTTAGCATCTCCTCAATGCTCTCAACCACTGTCTTACTCCCGATCATCAACTTCACACCCTTCGCATCGACCCCAACGAACTCGAACGCGCTGTCCCTGTCGTCACCCTTCGCCAAGCAGAGCTTTGCTTTCGACGCGAAGCCTCTCTCCGACAACTTATCTGCCCGGTTGGACCATGCGCCTGTCGCAGTATTCTCCTTCACACCCGAGCTTGCAGCCGTTTTGGGCGCTTCTGCAGGGGCGGCCTTGACCCCCCATGGGCGTTCCACTGGTTTGCCCACATGCGTTGCCAACGCAGTACAGAAGCTGGCGCGAATAGCTGGCAACGTTTTGGCGCTGCCCAATCGTTCATCTGTCTTGTTGAATACGAAGTGCACGGCGCGAACATCAGTCAACCCTACAAAGGTGCCGTATGCGAGCGCGTCTGGCGTAACGCCTTGGTTTGTTTTGCGATCTCTCGCACCTTCTGCAAGAACTCATCCGCATGCAGAACAATTGTAGCCTTCTTGTCACCAGACAGCGCGGACACGTCACCTGGCCTTAAGAGCACCTGATGGCCGCCCCTGGCGCACTTGCCACTCGCGGCCGCCGTGGCTTTCATGCATGCGAGTTTGAAAGTCACCGCAGCCCCCTCGTTTTTGATCTTCACTTCGGCGAGGCTCTTCGCCACGGCGCCTGTGACCACGCACTGGGCAGTTCATTGTCGTGAGAAGCCCAGCAATTCGCCGAAGAAAATTGGCTCGCCCAAACCACCCAACATCTCTTTCACATACGTTACCGATCCGTCGGCTTCCCCAGGGAAGAGGGAACCCGCGCGAGTCGCCTCCTGAATGACCCTCGGCCAATCGATCTCGCCTCCTTGGTTAGCCAAACGGTTCGCAATGGATGCGATCTTGAACTTCAGGCTCAATCGGGGCCCGCAACATGTGATCTGCCGCCCCGCATTGCCTGCTTCCTGGGCAAGGTTTGAAATCGAAGGGAACGCTTTGACAAATTCATACCGGAAGACCTTCCATTCAGTGCCCCCATCGCAAGCCTTTGCGCAGTCGGGCTGTGCTTCCCTCAACCTCTTCATTGAAAGAAACCCATCTTGTGAAATCCTGTCGAATCGCTCTGGATATTTCTGCGGCGCGGGAACTTCTGCATATAAACAGCGCAACCTCATGCTCGTATGTCCACGCGTGTAGCTTGCGAATTCAGCTTCGCATTCATATAAAGGCATTTGGCCAGCAGAATCTTTCCTTATCTTATCGTTGAACGCTTTGGCCTTCTCATATTCCGCCGAGCCTGTTTGCAATTCCATGCGCACTGGATTTTGAAGGGGCGAGTTCTTGAAACCGTTCCTGAATATTTTTACGATAAGATCTAGCACATCGCTCGGGACAACCCCATCCCCATACCTGTTTTCCATGCACACGAACATGCGTTTGCTATGAATCCTCCCCAATCCTGATGCAATCGATGCCAGGCCGCTGCGCTATGCCGCATACCTCTTCGAACAAAGAAACAACGGGGGCGTCTGGCTGCTCATACGCAGCCTTGATTGCATGCATCTCCCCAATAACATTATATATGTTCAGTTCACGCTTGGAGGTCATGACGCCTCGCGCGGAAACCACCTCTGTTGAGCCAAAAGCCTATACGGCGCACGCATTTATATATATATATATATATATATATATATGCAAATGAACATTGCCATCTTCCAATATGCACCCTTCGAAATTCACGAATGCATTGCACCGATCGCACTCTCATGGGGGGGAGTCAGGCAACACTCTAGCACCGCCATGCCAAAAAACGAATAACAACATTGGAAAAAAAAACCTAATCACCAGGGAAACCAGCCTACACGTCATCGTTGTGTTCCAACATATGTTAAAAATGAGCAATGTCGCTAGCGTTTCTAACTCCGCGTAACTATACTTAACTAGAGAGACCAAATTAGCGAAATTAGTAAATTCATAGCCTAGCTATAACAAGTTATGCTTACTTATAACAGACTTATGATACAGTTATAACATGGTTATAACTCACTGTAACACTTATTAACCACGCCGATCCTTTAGGCGGAGCATTGCGAAGGGCTGGCAGGTTTCTAGGAGGAACCCTGGTACGCACTGCCCCCATGCATTCACAATTTGCCCAGAGCTGGCTCGATTCTAGGCACAACCTCGGCTTCCCCTCCCCCTCCCCTCTCCTCCTCCTTCCATGTTCGCCCATCCCGGCTACCCAGCCTTTTGCCCTGTCCGTTTTTTGTTTACGTTTCTTCATGCTCTTTCGCACAGGGCTGGTTTGTTTCTAGGAGGAACCGTCGTTCCCTCATGTTTTGTTGGATGCCCCCCTGGTTCGCGACAGTGCGGCTTCTCCCAGGGGTTTGCGTTGTCTCCCACATGGGGCTGGCCCTGGCCATGCTCTGCTCCTGCACGGGTTTTTGCGAAGGGCTGGCGTGTTTCTAGGAGGGACCCTGGTTTGCTCGCCCCCTGCATACACAATTTGCCCAGGGTTGCCTCGTTTCTAGGCTCGTTTCTAGGCACAACCTGGGTTTCCCCTCCCCCTCCCCACTCCTCCTCCTCCTCCTCCTCCTCCTCCTCCTCCTCCTCCTTCCATGTTCGCCCCTCCCGGCTACCCGACCACCCCTTCATGGCCTTTCGCACAGGGAACTTGGCGACTAAAACACCTTACTTTGCAACGGTGACTCTTTGCCTTCCGCCGCGCGCACGAGTCGCGCCGGCAAGTGCCAAGTGCTGGGGCTCGGCGACATTGTTCGAGCATTCAGGGCACGGTGCACGCAAAACCGAAACTGCAAATATGGAGACACATTGAAGTCGATGCGCAACGTCTCGGCGCCGAGCGACACGCGCCGAGCTTCCAGTCTGGAACCACCGTACAGGGCCCACAACGCACTCGTTCTCCTCTGGCTCTTTTAATTATCTCCCCCCCCTCTCTTCCTATTAGTTGATTCGCCTCTACCCTACCCCAAGGTCTTACCTTCAATATGCCCATCGTTGAAACATTTGGTACTGATTCGGAACGCGGCTTGACGAATCTGATGACAGTACTAGTCTGGCTTGAAACATCGTCCTTTCTTGGAATGCTATCGGGACTAGAACCGCGCGCCACGCGCGCTCTTTGGTTCCAGCCGACTCCGCAGTCGGTACCAGTAAGCGTTGCACGAAGGAACGCGGGGCACTGTTTCTTCAAAACCAGGACCCAACACCACAGGATGGTTGAGAAAGAAACATGGGTTCTGACATTTAAGGACTTGACGGATCCCCGGGGCGGCGAGAGCAGCCAGAACTGGAGCCATGTGTGCCCTGCTTGCACATGGCGAAGCCCGGCCACCTCCCTCGATCGAGAATCAAGCCTGAGGTCGCGAGCATCGAACTCAATTGCCTCACTGCCCCTCTCTGCAGCGACTCGATCTCAGGTCAAAACGGTGGCAGTAGGCACGCCTGTTCACGAAGAGATGCAGCGCAGGCATAGACGGTTGGGAATCAATGCTACAATGGATGTGTGAAACATTGCACGAGGCCTCACAAATCATCGCCGCGAATCCCTTCTCAAGCGCGACAGCCTCGGCTAAGAATAGGGATGCCCAAGGCCCCAGATGATGCGAACCGCCCACCCACCCACCCGCTCCTGCTCTTCAAAACGCCTACGCCTCAGCTACTCATTCGCAGCACCTGGCACGCACAGGCTGACTGCATACGTCAGCTGGCGCCCCGACCTCAATCCTGGGTGGAGCTGGGGAGCACTAGGCGTGCCGCGCTCGTGACCTCGGCGCGAACGCTGGTAGGGCGGCCTCTGCGGTCGGCGCATCTTAAATCGGAGCCACGGACCATGCCAGCCAACGAAAAGAGGCGCCCGCCAGAGGTCGAGGATAAACTTCACACAATTGTTCCTCCTCGTCTTCGCCCTCTTCTCCGATCCTCCTCTTTACATATATTCCACTTCCTATTTTTACCTAGCAGCTTTTGCTGATAGGTTTCTAGTGGGATCAAAAGAGAGCATCTTGACGCCCCAGGGGGGTCTGGGCGGGATCCGGACAAATCCGGCAGCTCCAGGAATCCTTGGAATCCTTAGGGATTCTTAGGGATCCTTAGGAATATGCCCGTAGCCAACTGTAGGCCATTTCGTGTTCTTCGTCTTCCCAGAACACCATTCTCAGGCCACACTTTGAATACCCGGAGCCAGCTGTAGGCCACTTCGTGTTCTGCGTCTTCCCAGAACACCATTCCCAGGCCACATTTTGATTGCCCGGAGCCAGCTGTAGGCCACTTCGTGTTCTTCTTCCCAGAACACCATTCCCAGGCCACATTTTGAATGCCTGGAGCCAACTGTAGGCCACTTCGTGTTCTTCGTGTTCCCAGAACACAATTCCCAGGCCACATTTTGAATGCCCGGAGCCAACTGTAGGCCACTTCGTGTTCTTCGTGTTCCCGGAACAAAATTCCTGCACCATATTTTGATTGCCCGGAGCTAACTGTGGGCCACTTCGTGATCTTCGTGTTCCCAGAACACCAGTCCTGTGCCATATTTTGAATGCCCGAGCTGATGCAGGCTGAGGCCGAGGCAGGCTGAGGCCGAGGCAGGCTGAGGCTGAGGCTGAGGCTGAGGCAGCCGAGGCAGGCTGAGGCTGAGGCTGAGGCTGAGGCAGGCTGAGGCTGAGGCAGGCTGAGGCTGAGGCTGATGCAGGCTGAGGCTGAGGCAGGCTGAGGCTGGTGCAGGCTGAGGCTGAGGCTCGAGGCAGGCTGAGGCTGAGGCAAAGGCAGCGAGCTGTGTCTGAGGCTGAGGTCGAAGCTGCGGCCGAGCATTTGAGGCATGAGGCTGAGGGCAGCGAGAGGCTGAGGCTCGAGGCCGAGGCTAGGCACGACCTGAGGCCGTGGCAAGCCGATACCAGGCTGAGGCTGAGGCCGAGGCTGAAGGCAGACTGAGGCTGAGGCTGAAGCAGGCTGAGGCTGAGGCTGAGGCAGGCTGATGCTGAGGCTGAGGCAGGCTGATGCTGAAGCTGAGGCTGATGCAGGCTGAAGCTGAGGCAGGCTGAGGCTGAGGCCGAGGCTGAAGGCAGACTGAGGCTGAGGCTGAAGCAGGCTGAGGCGGAGGCTGAGGCAGGCTGAGGCTGAGGCTGAGGCAGGCTGATGCTGAGGCAGGCTGAGGCTGAGGCTGAGGCTGATGCAGGCTGAGGCTGAGGCAGGCTGAGGCTGAGGCTGAGGCTGATGCAGGCTGAGGCTGAGAGGCTGGCGCTGAGGCTGAGGCAGGCTGAGGCGGAGGCTGAGGCAGGCTGAGGCTGAGGCTGAGGCTGAGGCAAGCCGAGGCAAGCTGAGCCTGAGGCTGAAGCTGAGGCTGAAGCTGAGGCAGGCTGAGGCTGAGGTTGAGGCTGTGGCTGAGGCTGATGCAGGCTGCGGCTGAGGCAGGCTAAGGCTGAGGCTGATGCAGGCTGAGGCTGAGGCAGGCTGAGGCTGGGGCTGAGGCAGGCTGAGGCTGAGGCTGAGGCCGAGGCAGGCTGAGGCTGAGAGGCTGACGCTGAGGCTGAGGCAGGCTGAGGCTGAGGCTGAGGCCGAGGCAGGCTGAGGCTGAGGCTGAGGCAAGCCGAGGCAGGCTAAGGCTGAGGCTGAAGCTGAGGCTGTGGCTGAGGCTGAGGCTGAGGCAGGCTGAGGCTGAGACAGGCTGAGGCTGAGGCTGAGGCAGGCTGAGGCTGAGACAGGCTGAGGCTGAGGCCGAGGCAGGCTCAGGAGGCTGAGGCAGGCTGAAGCTGAGACAGGTTGAGGCTGAAGCTGAGGCAGGCTGAGGCTGAGGCTGTGGCTGATCAGGCTGAGGCTGAGGATTCCTAAGGATGCCTAAGAATGCCTTAGGAATCCCTAGGAATCCTTAGGTTTCCATTGGATCCTAAGGCCGTTGCCACTGCGACTGTCATTGCGAATGCGACTGCGCCTGCGAGAACAGCAGAATTCTACAGCTGGACTCTCACCTGAATCTTAAGGGGAATGCTTCCAGATATGCTTATACACATCGCTGTTAGGTTGCTTTGCCGGGATAATTTTATAAGCCCGGGCGGGGGGGAAACCCGTCCCCCCCACACACACACAAAACCGGACTCCCGGGATCTGGGGCTTTGGGACCTTCTGGACGGGCCTCGAAGCGGCCACCGGGCCTCACATGGCGTTTTGCCAAGCCTTCCCAGCACACCTAGGGCGATCAGGGGGGTCATCGGAGACGTCCCAGAGACCCCCACGACAGCACAAAAGCGCTCCAAGAGTGACCAACGTGACCTCAAGATGGCCCAAGAGGCCTCCAGGACGGCCCCAAAGCGACCTCCAAGAGCACTCCCAAGAAGGCCCCCCGAGGCAAACATCATTAATTTTCTGTTGGTTGTTGGTGAATTTTAGGGTTCTTCCCGACGCTCTAAGACGGCGGTCTTCTGGGCGTCAGAAGCCGCCTGGGAGGCTCCAAGCGCTTCCAGGCAGTCCAAGAGAGCCCCGAAACGGCACAACACGGGTCCAAGATGGCCCTCAGAGAGCCCCATGGCGGCCCAAGATGACCCAAAGACACCCTCCGAAGCATTCCACATCGTGACCCGTTCGTTCAGGGAGACCGCGGTTGGAGGCAGGGTGGCCCGAGGAAGCCCCCGGAGTCCCCCAGAATACGCCCAGGAGGTCTCCAGAAGGCCTTAAGAAAGCCTGAAACAACTTTTGTGAGGCCCCTAGAGGCTCTCCAAGGAGGAGCCTCCGCAAGAAAGAGCTGAGAGTGGGGAGAATGCCCAGGGTATGGCGAAAATAAAGAAAAAGAAGCATGGAGGAAGGATAACGAATAACATCATTCTAGCGGCGATGCCAGAAAAGGCAACCAGGAGTTATCGCTAAATTGTCGGCTTGACCTTCCTACAATTCCGCCTGCATACCAAATTTCAAGGACCAAGGTGCATGGCGCGAAGCGCCACTGCAGTCTTGTGTGTGTGTATATATATATATATATATACCTGTACTGTTATAAGCCCAGGCGGGGGGAGTCCCCCCCTCAAAAACCAGACTCCAGGGATCTGGGGCTTTGGGACCCTCCGGACGGGCCTCGAAGAGGCCACCGGGCCTCGCAGGGCGTTTTGCCAAGCCTTCCCAGCACACCTAGGGCGATCAGGGGGGTCATCGGAAACGTCTCAGAGGCCCCCACGACAGCACAAAAGCGCTCCAAGAGTGACCGACGTGACCTCAAGATGGCCCAAGAGGCCTCCAGGACGGCCCCAAAGAGGCTTCCAAGAGCACTCCCAAGAAGGCCCCCCGAGGCACAAATCATTGATTTTCTGTTGGTTTTTGGTGAATTCTGGGGTTCTCCTCTTTTCGGCTTCCCGACGCTCCAAGACGGCGGTCTTCTGGGCGTCAGAAGCCGCCTGGGAGGCTCCAAAATCGCCCCACAACCATCCGAAAGCGCTTCCAGGCAGTCCAAGAGAGCCCCGAAACTGCACAACACGGGTCCAAGATGGCCCTCAGAGTTCCCCTATGGCGGCTCAAGATGGCCCAAAGACACGGGGGTAGGTGCGAAATCCTCGTCGACCGTGGTTCATTAGCTAGGAATGAAAATCTAGGTTCAGCATCTGCAGATGATACCTTATGGATTATTGTCCTGTGAATGGATCGGGCTCAGCCCCCCCATCGGCCGCATCATTATCTTTCAGGAATAATCGACCTAAGTTTATTATTCCAACATTACGAACCAAAGTTTATTTCAGGCCAGAACGTACCCCCCAACGGCGCCCCCCAGGCTCAATCATTATCATTCCAGAATTCTTAACCCTGGGTTTATATTCCGGGAACATTATGAATCCAGCTTCATTATCTCCGGGAGATAATGAACCGGGGTCAATATTCCGACACGAAGAACCTGGTGAGGAACCCGAAGGTTGGGGGGAAACTCATAATTACTATCATTCCGGAATGACGAATACCGAGTTCATTCTTCCCGGGAGATTCTGCAGTCAATAGTCCCAGAACATTATACACCCAGGTGAATTCCCAACCCTCCTATGGTTGGGCACTCGTTTTGAATAGAGCAGTGTGATCGCCCCAGCCTCATTCTTCTCCTCCCCCCTCCTCCTCTCCTCGTCTCCTGTCTCCTGTGTTCCCCTCTCCTCTTCTCTCGTGCCGTTGGGCTACGATCTGCGAAACTGTCGCTACTTTCGTGGGCTCCTGGGAGGCCCAGCGGAGGTACGTCCCACGCGGACCACCTAGAGACCTCGCGGCGCCCTGGGGGCCTGCGATCTGCGCAACTGTCGCCACTTTCGTGGGCTCCTGGGAGGCCCAGCGGAGGTGCGTCCCACACGGACCACCTCGAGACCTCGCGGTGCCCTGGGGGGCTGCGATCTGCGCAACTGTTGCCACTTTCGCGGGCTACTGGGATGCCCAGCAGAAGTACGTCCCACGCGGACCATATCGAGAACTCGCGGCGCCCGGGGGGGCTGCAATCTGCGCAACTGTCGCCACTTTCGCGGGCTCCTGGGAGGCCCAGCGGAGGGACGTCCCACGCGGACCACCTCGAGACCTCGCGGCGCCCTGGGGGGAGAGGGGGGGGGGCTGCGATCTGCGCAACTGTCGCCACTTTCGGGGGCTCCTGGGAGGCCCAGTGGAGGTACGACCCACACGGATCACCTCGAGACCTCGCGGCGCCCTGGGGGGAGGGGGGGGGGCTGCGATCTGCGCAACTGTTGCCACTTTCGTGGGCTCCTGGGAGGCCCAGCGGAGGTACGTCCCACGCGGACCACCTAGAGACCTCGCGGTGCCCTTGGCGGGCTGCGATGTTTGCAACTGTCGCCACTTTCGTGGGCTCCTGGGAGGCCCAGCAGAAGTATGTCCCACGCGGACCACCTCGAGACCTCGTGGCGCCCTGGGGGGCTGCGATCTGCGCGACTATCGCCACTTTCGTGGGCTCCTGGGAGGCCCAGCGGAGGGACGTCCCACGCGGACCACCTCGAGACCTCGCGGTGCCCTGGGGGGCTGCGATCTGCGCAACTGTCGCCACTTTCGTGGGCTCCTGGGAGGCCCAGCGGAAGGACGTCCCACGTGGACCACCTCGAGACCTCGCGGCGCCCTGGGGGGGGCTGCGATGTTTGCATCTGTCGCCACTTACGCAGGCTCCCACCTCGAGACCTCGCGGCGCCCTGGGGGGCTGTGATCTGCGCAACTGTCGCCACTTTCGTGGGCTCCTGGGAGGCCCAGCGGAGGTACGTCCCACGCGGACGAGATCGAGAACTCGCGACGCCTTGGGGGGCTGCGATCTGCGCAACTGTCGCCGCTTTCGTGGGATCCTGGGAGGCCCAGCGGAGGTACGTCCCACGCGGACCACCTCGAGACCTCGCGGCGCCCTGGGGGGCTGCGATCTGCGCAACTGTCGCCACTTTCGTGGGCTCCTGGGAGGCCCAGCGGAGGGACGTCCCACGCGGACCACCTAGAGACCTCGCGGTGCCCTGGGGGGCTGCGATCTGCGCAACTGTCGCCACTTTCGTGGGCTCCTGGGAGGCCCAGCGGAACAACGTCCCACGCGGACCACCTCGAGACCTCGCGGTGCCCTGGGGGGGCTGCGATCTGCGCAACTGTTGCCACTTTCGGGGGCTCCTGGGAGGCCCAGCGGAGGTACGTCCCACACGAACCACCTCGAGACCTCGCGGCGCCCTGGGGGGCTGCGATCTGCGCAACTGTCGCCACTTTCTTGGGCTCCTGGAAGGCCCAGCAGAGGTACGTCTTACGCGTTGCCGCTGCTCTTATTGCTGCGCTCTTCTGAGTTCACTGATGGGTGCTCTTCTTCCGCACTGCGGGTTTTTTCAGCATGCCCGTCGGCATTGAGTGGTCCCGAATGTAACCACCACATGTATAGAAACTGTTGGGTATGTCGCAGGTAATATGTGTTTGGTGTCGATATCCCCTGAGCATCATAAACCAGGGTGTATCATGTTCCGGGGGGAGCATGATGAACCCCAATCAATATTCCCAGAACATTGAAACCCAGGTTCATAATGTTCCGGGCCAGATATTATGAACCCTGGTCAATAACCCCAGAACGTTCTAAACCCAGGTTAATATCTATTTGGGTCCATCTTGCAAAGACACCCTCCGAATAATTCCTAATCGTGATTCGGTCGTTCAGGGAGACCGCGGTTGGAGGCAGGGTGGCCCGAGGAAGCCCCTGGAGGCTCCCATAATACGCCCAGAAAGCCTGAAAAACAAAAAAGAATGCGAAAAAGAAACAGAGTGGCTCTACCGTTGCTGAAGGAAAAAAAAAAAAATACAAAAAAAATAACATGAAAAATGAGAATAAAATCAAAAAAACAAAAGAATTACGTAAAAAAAAAAAGAAAAAAAAAAGCAAATAAAAAAAAAAAAAAGATAAGAACACAGAAAAAAACCATCAAAAAAAAGAGAAAAAAAAAAAAGAAAAAAATGTAACTAAAAAACCAGAAAAAAGCCTGAAACAACTTTTGTGAGGCTCTCCAAGGAGGAGCCTCCGCAAAAATGAGCTGAGGAGGATGGGGAGCATGCGAAGGGTACGGCGAAAATAAAGAAAAAGAAGCATGGAGGAAGGATAACGAATTACAGCATTATAGAGGCGATGCCAGACAAGGCAACCAGGAAGTATCGCTAAATTGTCGGCTTCACCTTCCTGCTATTCCGCCTGCATACCAAACTTCAAGGACCAAGGTGCATGGCGCGAAGCGCCACTGCAGTCTTGTGTGTGTGTATGTATGTATGTATGTATGTGTGTATGTATGTATGTTTGTATGTGTGTATGTATGTATGTATGTATGTATGTATGTATGTATGTATGTATGTATGCATGCATGCATGCATGCATGTATGTATGTATGTATGTATATATGTATTCATGCATGCATGCATGCATGCATGCATGCATGCATGTATGTATGTATGTATGTATGTATGTATGTATGTATGTATGTATGCATGCATGTATGTATGTATGTATGTATGTATGTATGTATGTGTGTATCGGTGGGATCCCGCACTGATGGGCCCACCAGCGGGATATCACTTCTGGGGGCGGGAAGCGAAATAGTTCGCAGAAAGGGGGTGCGATAATTGCATGTCAGGGCGATAATTCGCCGGCCCAACGGGCCAAGGTCGTGCTAAGATCTCCGGTAACTGATTAACAATATTCTAGTTCGCGCGCGCGGGGCCGCCCCTGGGGGTCCCAGGACAATTACCCCGGGACACCCCCGGGAAACCCCCGGGACACTAGGATCAGAGATGCCAGACTGGGGGGAGGGGCGCAATCGGTCCAGGGGCCGAGTTTGTAAACCATTCGATGTAATGCACCGATTCATCGTATCCCTGTGGCCGTGATTTGTGGAGTTCTGTTTCATTGACGGCAAGCATATCATGCATTGACCACTGTAAGTTGGGGGAGAACATCCCAAAAACCACGGCTTCTAACAGAGGGTAAAACTTTAAACCACGACATATAACTTTACGTTTTTACCATTGGGCCACATCTTACCTTTGACCTTTGCCATTGGGCAGCATATTACCTTATCCTAGGAATGCACCACGACAGTGTCTAGCCACTCCTGACCCAAGAGGTCCCGAAGACGCCCAAAGAGCGCTCCAGGACGCGGATGATGACCCCAAGACGGCCCACGAGGCCTCCAAGTGGCCTCCAAGAGGCCTCACAAAAGGGCCCGAGAGGCCTAAATCATCAATTGCACGATGGTTTTGGAAGGATTTTGGCCTTGTCGCATTTTCAGCCATCCGATGGCCCCAAGAGGGCCCAAGAGGGCCCCGAGACGGCCCAAGAGGCGCCCAAGACGGCCCAAGATGGCTCCAAGACGGCCCCAAGAGGGGCCCAAGAGGGAACCGAAAACTCGAGTCTTCCGCCCCAAGAGGGCACCAGGAGGCCCCGAGAGGCCCCCAAGAGGCCCCCAAGAGGCACCAAGATGCCGCCAAGAGGCTCCCAAGAGAAGGCCCAAAAGAGGCCCCAAGAGGCCCCAGAAGTTCAAAAATGCCTCCCAGGCGCCCCCGAACGGCTTCTCAAAAGACCCCAAGAGGCCTCCCAAAGAAGCATCTTGACGACGACCCTGTTTGAACCCAAGAGCAACACAAGATGCCAACGAGAGGCTTCCTCCTCCGCCCCTTCCCCTTCCTCCTCCTCCTCTCCTCCTCCTCCTCCTCCTTCTCCTCCTCGTCCTACTTATCACTTATCTTCATCGTCCTCCTCTCCTTTTCATCCTCTCCTCCTCCTCCCCTCCCCTTCCCCATCCCCATCTTCCTCATCTTCGGCGGCGCCCTAATGGCCCAGAGCCCACGGCGAGGCAATAGCGATCATGCAACATGGGCCGTCGGAATGAGCGAATCGATTGAATAATACTCGGGGCGTCGCGGACGGTGAACAGTCCGAGTCATCGCTGGAAGGGCAGGGCGGGGCTACTCAGCCTTAGATTCTGAGGCGGGGCATGGCCCACGCGCTTGCATTTGGCAGTGCGAGCAGAAAGGGCCAGCCTAAGCAGCAGGTCAGGGCACTCCGCGGGTGGTGGGAAATCGTGGCCGCCACCAAACGGGGGGACAAGCGACGGCGCCAAGCGCAGAGAGGGCCGTCAAATGTCAGCCGTGCGTCTTGGTTAGGTGTCCACGCACCTGATGAGCAAGATCACCGAGCTGTAGGTGATAGTAATTATGATGTAGCCGTAGATGCCGAGAGCATGGATCACTGCCCTCCATGACAGCCACATCAGGAAGTGGGCGAATGTCATGGTCAGAACGCTCAGGACGGCCATACGGGCGCGGGCCACGCCAGGCTTGCACCACATTGAGAAGGACCTCATGACCACATTGAAGAAGAGAGGGTTGAACAAGAACACCAAGGACATCTGCTGGAGCATCAGCCTCCAGGCCAAGGCGCCCTGGCCCGCTCTGAAATGCCACACGACCCTGCCGACCATGTCCCACAAAATCGGTGGCCCGATGCAAGCAACGAGGTAACGGTACGGAATGCGGGCATGCCTGACCGTATGGCTCAGCAGCTTCTCTCGGACGAATATGTCGAATCTGTCCACGTCGCCAAACCAGTTGATCACGGTTGCTCTGATCAGTTCCCTGTCGCACGGTATGGCATCATGTGTCTCGGGGTGCCGATGGCCGTTGCTGCAGCAGAAGCACTCTGCGTGTTCAAGGGAGAAGGTCACTAGCTGTTCCTCCTGCTCGGCGAAGGTGCAGACATGCCGCGACAAGAAGGGGGACAAGAATGAGGCAATGATGCAGAAGGTAATCGAGAAGGGAACCACTCGCAACAAAATCCGCCGACCCCTTTTGGGTCTCTAGGCGTGTGAGGTTGTTCCCCCCCCCCCAGAACCCTCCCCAGGGACCCCAAACCGGAGATTTGACCCCCCCCCGGCCCCACTATGGAGGACTAGTGAAGGGAACCGGGAACCGGGAACCCCAGAACCGGGAACCGGGAATCAGGAACCGGGAACCGTGAACCGGGAACCGGGAACCGGGAACCGGGAACCGAAAATCGGGAACCGGGAACCGGGAACCGTGAACCGGGAACCCCGGAACCGGGAACCAAAAACCGGGAACCGGGAACCCCGGAACCGGGAACCGGGACCCGGGACCCGGGACCCGGGAACGAACCGGGAACCCGGAACCAGGAACCGGGAACCAGGAACCGGGAACCGGGAACCATGCATGGAGGAATAATGAAGGGAACCGGGAACCGGGAACCCCAAAACCACCGGGAACCGGGAATCAGGAACCGGGAACCGGGAACCGGGAACCGGGAACCGGGAACCGGGAATCGGGAACCGGGAACCGGGAACCGTGAACCGGGAACCCCAGAACCGGGAACCCCGGAACCGGGAACCAAAAACCGGGAACCGGGAACCCCGGAACCGGGAACCGGGACCCGGGACCCGGGAACGAACCGGGAACTGGGAACCAGGAACCGGGAACCAGGAACCGGGAACCGGGAACCGGGAACCGGGAACCGGGAACCAGGAAGCGGGAACTGGGAACCGAGAACTTGGCGACTAAAACACCTTACTTCTTGGGGGATCTTGGAGAGCATCGCTCACCCAAGGCGGGTCTTCGAGCGCGGCCCCTCACTGAGGAGTTTTCAACATCTTTGCTCGGAGCTAATTTTGGGTCCCCTGGAAGCTTTTGGGGTCCTTTGGCGGACCTCTTGGGGCACTTTGGGGCCTGTTTGGCACCACCTTTGAGCTCTCTTGGAATTTTCTTGTGAACCCTGGGGGTCTCATCCGGCTAGCTTGGAAGCCATCGATCAGCGAAGAGCCACGCGCGCGCTTTCGGCATTGCATCCCGGGTTCCTGGCTGGTGAGCGTGGCGCTCGTTTGTATAGTATTGGGTGGGGGTAGTGGTGGCATGGGGGCGCGCCGACTCTGGAAGCAGCGCTGGGTCTTCGTTCGGTCGGCCGCCCTGCCTTCGTGCGGTGGGCTGCCCTGTTCGGGGGCCCTGCTGTGAAAGACAAGGTCGCGTCGAAGCTGGAGGAAGGTTTCTGCGGAACCCGACGGAAGACGGGGAAGCACCTACGCGCGGGCTACTTACACCACCAGCAGCACCAGCAACAACAACACGGTCTGCCCAGCTGCTCCGTTCTGTTCTGCTCGTTCTGTTCTGTTGTGTTCCGCCCCGCTGCTCCGTTCCGTTCGGGTCTTGACCGCAGGGCTCGTCTGTTTTGCTCTGGGCCGCAATCTCGTCTGTTCTATTTTGTTATGTCCCGTTGCTCCTTTTCTGTCTTCGTGCTCCGCTCTTTTCTGTTCTGCCCCGCGGTTCCGTTCTGTTCTGGTCTTGGCCGCAGGTTCGTCTGTTCTGTTCTGGGCCGCAATCTCGCCTGTTCTGTTTTGTTCCGCCCCGCTGCTCCGTTATGTTATGCTTGTTATGTGATATTACGTTCTGCTCCCCTGCTCCTTTCCGGTCTGTCGTGCCCCGCTGCTCCGTTCGGTTCCGTTCTGCCCCGTTGCTCCGTTCTGCTCTTGTCTTGGCTGCAGGCTCGTCTGTTCTGTTCTGGGCCGCACCATCGTCCATTTCGATCTGGCGTGCCCCGCTGCTTCGTTTTGTTCTGCTCGTTCTGTTCTGTTCTGCCCCGATGCTTTGTTCTGGTCTGCCCCGAGGACCCCTCCTCAACTACGTGATGTTCTGCGCCGGGTCGTGTTCCCAGAAAGAACCATGGCGCCCCCCCAGACGTGGCTGCCTCTGGAAGGGCGGTTCCGCGTAGAGTTCTTCCTCGGTTGCCGCGCGGTATCGCGAAGGGCTGGCTCGTTTCTAGGAGGAACCTTGGGTTCACGTTGCCCCTTGTTGTTCTTGTCATGACTGCAGGCTCGTCTGTTTTGCTCTGGGCCGCAATATCGTTTGTTCAATTCTGGCGTGCCCCGCTCTTTCGTTCTGTCATGCTCGTGATGTTATGTTATGTTATGCTCCGATGCTTTGTTCTGGTCTGTCCTGCTGTTCCGTTGTGTCCTGTTCCGTTCCTCTGCTCCGTTCTTTTCTGGTCTTGGCCGCAGGCTCGTCTATTCTGTTTTGGGCCGCAATGTTGTTTGTTCTGTTCTGTTTTGACCTGCTGTTCCGTTCTGCTATGCGTGTTCTGTTCTGTTCTGCCCCGATGCTCCTGTCCGTTCTGGTATTGCCCGCCGCTCTTTTCTGTTATGTTCTGTCCCGCTGCCCCGCTCTGTTATGTTGGGTAACTTTTCTCTTTGTGGAAGCCGCCTTCGCGTGGACCTATGGGTCCAATCACATGAGGTTTTGCGAAGGGCTGGCCGGCTGTTTCTAGGACGAGCCAGGGCGCCCCTCCCCCGACGTTGCTCCTTCAGGGAGGGTGGTCTCGCATAGGTTTCCTCCTCGGAATCCGTGCGGTTTCGCGAAGGACTGCCATGTTTTTGAAGAAAAAAACAAAAATAAGAAAAAAAAAAAAAAACAAATAAAACAAGAAAAAAAAAGAAAAAAAACAAAAAACAAGAAAACAAAACAAAAAAACAAAAAAAAGGGGGAACCTTGTGATGGGTCCACGCGTTTTCCTGCGGACCCCTTTTCAATAACGCCAGTCTTTGGATAACAAATAAACGTGATTTTTTGCAGTTCCGCGCGTTTGTTCTCAGTAGGAGCCATGGCCCCCCCCCTCCTGGCGTGTTTCCCTCTGGAAGGGCGGTTCCGCGCAGAGTTCTTCCTCGGATTCCGTTCGTTTTCGCGAAGGACTGGCTCGTTTTGAATGAGGAACCCCGGGTTCACGTTGCTCCTTGCGGGTGCCAGGTTTCGCGTGGGCCTGTCGTTCCCATTACGTGCTGTTTTGCACAGGGCTGGTCTGTTTCTAGGAGGACGTACGGCCCCCCCCGATGTTGTTCCCTCTGGGACAGTGGTTTCGCGCGCACTTCTTCCTCGTAGTCCGTGCGGCTTTGCGGAGGGCTGGCTGGTTTCTAGGAAGAACCTTGGGTTCACGTTGCTCCCACATGGGGCTGGCCCTGGCCATGCTCGCTCCCTGCAAGGTTTTTTGCGAAAGGCCGGCGCGTTCCTATGAGGAGCCCTGGCATGCTCGCCCCCTGCATACACAATTTGCCGAGGGCTGCCTCATCTCTGGGCACAACCTGGGTTTCTCCTCCCCCTCCCCACCTCCTCCTTCCATGTTCGCCCACCCCGGCTACCCAGCCTTTTGCCCTGTCCGTTTTTGTTTCCGTTTCTTCATGGTCTTTCGCACAGGGCCGGCTTGTTTCTAGGAGGAGCCGTCGTTCCCTCATGTTTTCCTGGATGCACCCTGGTTCGTGACAGCGCGGCTTCTCCCAGAGGCTTGCGCTTTCTGCCACATGGGGCTGGCCCTGCCCATGCTCGGCCCCTGCATGCCTAAAGGAACGCGTCGGTTAATAATAGCTAGCTGGAGTTATAACTAGTTCGTAACTCGTTATAACTAGCTACCGTGTTGGAGTTTTTGGAGTGACATGTTCGTTGTTTGGCTTATACTTGAGGGTTTGTTTGGAACGTGCATTTTGTTTTTTTTGGAGATTGCATGTTGTTTCCTGTGCATATCGATGTTGTTGTTTTTTGTAGAGTATGCGCTAACAGAATAATGCACGGTATTTAACGGGCCAAATGCACGCGATATGATCGCCAATTCTCCTGTAAACCACTGGAGATTTCAACGAACTGAAGGGGATGAGAACGGGATCGCGGGCATCATCGATGACATGCCTAGAAAAGTGTTCGCTCGCATGCACATGCTTTGCAATCAGAATCTGAACTAAACTCTGCGGCGGATCGCCGTCGCATTTCACGTGGAACCACACTTGGACTGCAACGTGGCCACGATCGCGACCCATCAAAACTATGTCACCACGTTTGATTGTTCCTCCATGTTCGGTGCGCGCCTAATGGTCAAGACTGCTGCATGCGTGCCTGGCCGCAGCTGCAGCAAAGCACTCAACGAACGTTTGCTCGCAGCTGTGGCGCACTCGAACTCGCACTCCAGTGACAACCCGCGGACGTTCTGTAGATCGTGCATGTGCTGAGCCGCGAGCTGGATCATTACACCCTTCTCGGGCCTCGTCTTGCACAGGTGGTCCTTTGCAAATAGTTTGACATGTTTGTGTTTCCGCTCTTGGACAAAACATGATAAAGCACCATGCCTCTTAAACATATCAGCCAAGTGGATAGCCATGTGATGCTTATACACCAAATACTTGGCACCATAGGAACGCTTGTGACGCTCCAAATGTTTCAACACTGCTGACTCAACCTCGCAGCGTGTGCATGGCAATCGCCTCGGCGCGCAGAGAATAACATCCACGGCGTCACATAACGCCAGCATGCTTGCTATCTATGATGGTGTATTGACAATGGCTTGCCTGATGTATAGAGCCAGTGCGGGAATCGCAGATAGCTCTTGCGAGGCACTCGCCTGGAAGTCTCCCGTTTCTCAGACTGTTGCAGCAGAGTGGTGTTTGGATGGTCATGTCCACTTCGTGAAGTAATCGTGGAGGTCGTCGGCGCTGCGCAGTTTCTTGAAATCTTTGTGCTCTAGGAGGGCCCTGACTTCCCGATCAAAAATGCCACTAACGAAATATACGTGCATCTAAGCGAAGCAGAGGAATGTCATCACCAAGTATCTAAGAAACGGGTCCAGTGCGACATGCGTTGGATGGAAATTCCAACCTTTCACCTGCGTGACAGATGT